CCTTGCATGCTTGTTTTGTCCGTTTTTTTTTATAGCCCCGACCCCCCCCCCCCTTGCTCGATATTACATTTTATGCAGGATTTATCCGAACAGATTTATTCTTAGGGGTTGTTTATTTTCCATGGAGACCTTCAAGTGGCCTAGAGCTCTAAGAGCACAATGTTGCATTACAGTCTTGGAATATAGGGATTCTTAATACAGAGCAATGGTCTGAGGGCCCGCCCATGGAGACGAAAAGCCATGTAGGCGTAATCGATCCGAACGGAGAGAATGTGGTGGAGCAGCCCAGATACGTTAGGGCAGTGGTTCCCAGACTTTAAAGTTTGGCGGACCGGTGAACAAGTTTCAAAATTTTACCGAGGGACCGGTGCATGATTTATTTTTATACTTTTATTTCTATTTGACAATAAATATTTATGTTATGGGGACCGGCAGCTATAGGCATGCGGACCGGTGAAGGTCCACGGAGCGCCAGTTGGTGACCACTGCGTTAGTGTATCAACTGAGGTGCAGTCTCTCTTTCAATGTTCACTTACAAACAAATCTCAACAAACGGCTTAAAACGGAAATGAATGAGAATAGGATCCCCCCCCCCTTTTTTTTCTTCTCTCCCAACAACCCCCCCCCCCCCGGCCAAAAAAAAAAAAACCACCATCATTTCGTTCGGCTATATTTACAAAAATTGGCACGGAGAGCGCGTACAGCTAAGTGCAGTCTCTCTTTCAATGTTCACTTACAAACAAATCTCAACAACCGGCTTAAAACGGAAATGAATGAGAATAGGACCCCCCCCCCCTTTTTTTTCTTCTCTCCCAACAACACTCCCCACCCCGGCCAAAAAAAAAAAACCACCATCATTTCGTTCGGCTATATTTACAAAAATTGGCACGGAGAGCGCGTACAGCTAATTTTATGTTAAAGAGACACTGCATGTGGCCAGCAGGTTGAAAAGAAGCAGTATTTGAACTAGTATTTCTCCTAGAAGGCTTAGACTTAGGGCGATGCGGATGGTTGGAATTCTGGAAACGTTACGTTGAAATAGGGCATGTTAACTAAGTGTTAATTTAATAGGAAAGTTTAAAAAAAAAACAGTCATATTAATAATGAAACATTGTTTTGTTACAATTCTTTGATGTGGTGCAAATTTAGTTTAAAAAAAAAAAAAAAGTATTTTTAGTAAAAATTACCATGCCTATTATTGGAAATACCCGATTTATTCAAATATCTTTGGAAATACCCGCTACACATTGATTTGGTAGATAATAAAAATACATGATTAATTTAAGTTAAATAAGGAGTCATCAAATTTATATTTTAGTGAAGTAAGAGAAAAGTAAGCCTAATATTAAACCGAAACACTAGAATATAAACGTTTAGTTTTTCTTCTATAACTAATCAAGATCTAAAGTGAGTATTCTTCGTCTTCTATATCTTAAGGGCCCACGATCAATTTATTGATCATTTTGGCTCCTATGCGTGTAGATGGGATTTGCAATGTTTCTGTTACTGGTGTTGATGAGGAAATTTCACTGATTTCCAGTGCCACTTTGTGAGGGAATTATGCACTAGGGGTTTGAAGGCTTGAGGCAATAGACACAAATGTGTCTAGTGTTGTCGCCTCAACCGTTCCTTTTGAAAGATTGTTCCCCTGAATATCTTGGGCAGGAATGAGCAGCTCCTATACTAGCTTCTTGCTGGTATGAGCCTGAATTGCCTGTCATGGCCTCATCGCTGTCTATGGGGGAGAGGGACGAGTTTCTGTTTAATACTGGAACAGTGAACCAGCCCATTATTTATCTTGTACATCATGGAGAGCCTGGATTGTCGTCGTTCCTCCAATGGTGACCAGCCTAGTGTTTCCAGCATGCTGCCATCACTAGAGGTATTCCTGTAGCGGTTTAGGACAAAACGTGCTGCTCGTCGCTGGACCGCCTCCAACCTGTCAATGCTCTTCTGGGTAAATGGGTCCCAGACTGAAGATGCATAATCTAAAACCGGACGGACAAAGGCTTTATATGCTCTTTCTTTCACACAGGAGTTGCCAATCTTTAGATTTCGCCTTAAGAACCCTAGGGTCTTGTTTTCTTGGTTACATAGATTGTTAATATGCTCGCCCCAGAGGACCTCTTCTTTGAATGGTAACACCCAGGTACTTAGGAGGAAACTGGCTCAAGTATATGGCCATGCAGTTCGTATTGTTAGTGTAGAGGAGTACAACTTCTAGAGACTGATAGTGTCTGGCACTTGGCAGGGTGAAATTCCATGTCCCAGCTCATCTCCCACTCAGTTAAGTTATTAGTTAAGGATGAAAAAATATATACATGTAGATCTCTATATGTACTTGAACTTGAGCGTAATAGAACG